CGCTCTGCAGGGACCATCAGTGCAATTAGTGCACTGTAAGTCCCTGCAGATGAAAAGCGTCTGCTCAGCGGCGGCTGTAATGAGCATGGGCTTTTCTTCACACTTTGTGTTTGACATTTTTGATGCTCAGTGTACAATTGAGCAGCCTTGAATCGCTGTTTGTGCTGTGCAAACAATAGAAGCTTCCGAGCTGAAATGAGAATGCATAGCGGCCGTAAGTGCACAGAAAATCCTTCGGATGTAACGTTTGTGTTTGTCGGAACATGCCTTATGTTTTCAAGCTGAGTCTCCCTATTGGGGAAAATTGCTTTCTAAGTCGTGATTGCATGTACAAAGACACGTGTGAAGTGTTTCCTTTCAATTTGTGTGTGTGCGCGTGTGCTCTTTAAGATGTAATTGCGTCTGTAGAGTTGCGCTCCATCCCCGGGTGATTTATGGCTCATGCCAGCACAGAGCTAACAAGGGCAATAAATTCCCTCACTTGCTAGTGCTACTGCAAAATGTGTGTGCATTGAGTGTGTGTGTGCGCATTTGCAAACATGCAATCATGTCATGCGGCGTACAACATGCAAACTGCCTCTGAGTCTCTGTTCTGTCCTCATTCTTTCCATCAAATCTATACAGACACACAACATCTGTATGCAAACAGTTGGATTGACTCTTCATTGGAAAAGTGACAGGTGAGTGAGACAAAGTGCACGACCTTTGACACTGGTTCCCTGACCTTTGACCCCCGGGTTTGGCCAATTTGTGTGTGAGTATGCAAATGGATAAAACATTTACTTATATGTGTGTGTGTTTATATGAAATGGAGAAACAGTGAAGGAAGAAGTAGAAAGTAGAAAAACAAAGAAGTATGCGCAGATCATTTACGGTTGCAACCATAGAAACAGGCTATCAGGAATTCTTTAAATGTAAATGTTTAATGCCGAACCGTCAAGTCTTGCCTTATACAGCGTGTAATTTCTGCAGCACCAAACAGAATTGGAAATTTCAAACAGGTTTCAAATCCTTCTTTCATTGTTAAAACAGACAGACAGACAGTCCCATTGGAGATATGCATACTTAAAATCAGGATTGAAAAATACTACAAGGTAACACAATATTAATTACTTAATGTAAAATAATTATTGTAATATTATTTATAATATTAAATCGCACACCTCATAGAGGTGTATGTATATATATATATATATACACTGTATATATAATGATATCAATTATTTAATTATGATATTTATGATTTGTGATTTAAGATGTACAGAATGTGTATATACAGTATTTCACAATATTAATTAATAATTTAATATAATTAACTAATATAATAATAATTCTATTATTTTGTAATAATATTAAAGGGGTCATATGATGCGATTTCAAGTTTTCCTTTCTCTTTGGAGTGTTACAAGCTGATTGTGCATAGATAAGATCCCTGAAGTTGCAAAGACTAAAGTCTCAAAACCAAAGAGATATTCTTTATCAAAGTTAAGACTCTGTGTGATATCCTCAAAGACTCAAGTCGACTCCTGACAGACACTGATCCACCTGCTGCCAGGACACAAATCTCACAAAACCACGTTTTTAAACCACTCGTACCGCAGTACTGAAGTACAGAGCTGGAGATGCTTTGCTTTGTTGCTGTCAGCGAGTTGTAGCAGGGTTTAAAAAGTAGAAGGTGACTGTTCTGCACCAGTGTGTGTGATTCATGCCCTTTAAAGGCCACAGTGAACCCTCTCATTTCTGTCTTAAAAGAAATAGACAGATATTCATGGCTTCCCCTCCTTTGTTCCTGATTCCCTCATTCCAAGGAGAGGTAAAAGACCACGGGAGATCTGAGGGTCGTTTTGAAACCTCCAGATCATTGTCAGGCAGCTTGCGGGTGAGTAGACACACAAACACACACACACACCATTCTGGCCTCTGAACCCCAAACTCTTTCATCCAGACTCATTTTCTTTTTCCCCTCAGTCTCTCGATTTACACTGTGTTACAAGTCTCGTCGACCTCATCCGGTTGGTACACGGTTTCAACACACTCTTATCCAGTGCTGGGTAAATTACTTACAAATTGTAGTACATTGCTGATTACAAATTACATGGCGGAAATTGTAGTTAGTAATGTAATCTGTTGGATTACACGTATTAGGTAATGTATTCTGGCTACTTTTTTATTACTTTCGACCTAACTCGTAAGAAAATATTTTCCATTCTTTGTTATCAACATCATGAAGTGCATTAAACCCCTGAAACAACTGCAGGGGGTTTGCGACGTGATGAAAAGCTAATAATTAATTAAATTATAAGAATGTCAAATTAAACTAATTGTGTGACCTCTCCATTTTCTGTGTTATTATATTAATCTGAGAAGTGGCTGGTGTTCGAAGTTACTGTAAAACTTTGTGAATGTACACTCTAAAAAATGCTGGGTTGTTTCAACCCAACATTGGGTCAAATATGGACTAACCCAACTGTTGGGTTAAATTTTTACATTAAATTTTTAACCCAAAAGTTGGGTTAGTCCATATTTGACCCAAAGTTGGGTTGAAACAACCCAGCATTTTTTAGAGTGTATATAAGTGGTAGGATTTTTTTAGAAAGGAAAATTTAAGAGAGAAAAAAGAATAATTAGGGTGAATCAATACATTATGAATAATTTACTGCCATTTTGTAGATAATATGTTATCATGTTATCTATTAAAAGTAACGGTAATCTAATTACAAGCACTTTAAAATGCAATGTAACCTAATTACAAGTGCTTAATTTTTGGAATCTGATTACATAATCCAGATTACATGAAATCAGTTACTACCCAGCATTGCTTTTACGAAACTGCTGATGAAAAAAAAAGAAAAGAAAAAAAAAAAATTTTAGGCCGAAACATGGTAGCTGATTTCTTGCTTATCCAAGCTGGACATAAGCTGGTGCTAGGCGGTAGACCATCTTGGACCAGAAACATACCGGTTCAAGGTGGTCAAGATGGCTTTTAGATCATGGTGGCTGATCAACCAGCTTGCACAAGCTTATAACCTTCTTGGATCTACTAGAAATAAGCTTCCAAAACATAGCTACCAGCTTAAAGCTGGATTTCCCAACAGGAACACTTCTTTTATGCCACATAGCCTACTTCTTTTTCACAGTTTATTGTACCTCTGCCACCTTACAGGCTGACAGATATCACATACACACACACATTCTTCATCTTGCCTTGTGGATTTCTTGGTCTTATGGACTTAAAAAATGTGAGTGGTGTTTGCCTTTGTAAAAATAGCATAGGTGTTGTGGTTTAATGCCAGGATGTTGCTATGTGGTTGATTGGTTTTTAACGTGTTGCTATGCAGTTGACAGATGACATACTGAAGTTAAACAATTACAGTCAAGAATTTGATCAAATCCCTAGCCCTAAGTATGAGTAATAATAATAGTGATGCTTGCCTTCAGAAGCAACACTAATAAAAACCCAGATACTATCGGTTTCACTGACAGAAAACTCACTGTCAAGGGGAACGAGAAAATGACAGAGTGAGAAAAAAGGGGGAGAGAGAAAAAATGGAGGGTTAAAGCTAAGTGTGTGGGTCAGACAGAATGACATGACAACTGCAACCCAACAGAGGCTTAACACATAAATCAACCTCACACAAACACACACACACACACACACACACACACACTTTTCGGCACGTTCACTAGAGGTCTACACGGGTCCAAAAATTCGTACCCGAACCCGAAGAGACCCGTAAATGTGCTACACTGAACCGACCCGGACCCGTCTAGTCAACTTGCATAATAATTTAGACTGTTTGCCCATTTGGATTATAAAAACGATTGCTCGTCCAGTGCCATGGCTGCTGACGTTAGCTTTACTTATTTGTTATCATCTCTGTGGTCTCTGAGCAGAGTCTGAGCAAATATTTTAGATATAACAACAAGACGGTTCATTCATAATATTATTAAAAAAATAATCAATAATAACTCACATCACTCATGAAGGTATCCATTATCACCGTGCGTGTGCATTAACTCCGCCCACCCTGCTTCTGATGACGTCGCTCGTGGTTTTTTTTTCCCACCTTATTTCAAATTACCGACTCACACTTTTCTCATCCTAATTTTGTTTAAAGTTGAAGTTACAAAACAACACATGTACAGCGCTGACTGACTCTGATAACGGCCGGGTGTTCTCCGAGTCCGATCGACTCGGGTATTACACACAATGTTAAACAGACCCGGGACCCGAAGTTATAGATTGGGACCCGACCCGGACCCGGCTGACCATTTAAAATATAGCCCCGAACCCGTACGGATCCCGGGTCCTCGGGTCTCGGGTCCTCCGTGTAGACCTCTAACGTACACACATATTTCTTTACAGAGAAATCATTATTCGCAGACACACACATACACATATATACCCACTTTGTCCAACAAAACTGGACAAAAACTAATTATTCCATCAAAACAGTGCATGTGAATTGAATGCAGTACATGAAACAATAACCATAACACTATCAAAATTTCAATCGCACTTCAATCGTTCCCCCTTCATCTCAACTGTCAAAACTCGACCTAAATAAAATGTAGGCCAATGCAGTGTTTAACTGGCCTGAGGTGATAAACCACTGAAGCCTATTCACTCTTCATTTATGTGTCCCATTAAGCCACTGTGAGTGGCATATACGTTTTTTTTTTCCTTTCCGTATTACAGGCTCTATCTACAGCATATTAGCTGTATTCAATACCTAGTGATTATGAAAGCAAAGTAAGCTACTTGCTACACCTTGCTACAAGCTACACCTTACCACAATAAGGTGACTCAGAAAAACCCTTGTGAGAAAAAAATGAACATTTGTTACCTTACCATATTAGCTCTTTACCTCACACTGAATAAAAGACTGCACAAAACTGTACAAGAAAGCCACAACATATTCAACAAAATTTCAAGCACTTTTCAAGACATCATTGAACTTTAAAAAAAAATCAATATGAAAAACATGATCAACACATACCTGTTTCTTCATCAATGGTGAATCTCCCAAGACCACTGCCATCACGTATGGAGTACTGCACCTCGCCGTCCCTTCCCATGTCATCATCCCTTGCAGAGACCTGGAGCACAGAAGTCCCGATCCGAACGCTTTCCTTTACTGATCCGTTCATGGCGAAGTTCGAGAAATATGGTGCGTACAGGTTCTCGTTAACATCCACCACCTCCAGTTCAACAAAGCTAACTGACAGGAGAGACACCGGTCGGCCTTTGTCTTTCGCTCGAACTGTTAGGTTGAAGAACTGTTGAGTTTCGTAATCCAGCTCCTTGGTAAGACGAATGGCACCGCTAGTCTTGTCGACCTCAAAACGGCCATCGTAGTCGTTAGCGAGCGAGTATCGCACCTGCCCTCCAAGTCCCAGGTCAGGGTCTTGCGTATCCAGCCAGGCAATGACAGTGCCCACTGGGAGGTCTTCTAGTGCGCGGGCGCTAACAACACTTGGGATAAAGGCTGGTGGACAATCATTAACATCCTCGAGATAGATTTTAAGAGTTGTTACTGAAAATTGCTGAGCCACTCGCTCTACTCGATCTCGCGCTTCCACTTTTAATATGAAGAACTGAACAAACTCACGGTCCAGCTGACCTGCAACATATACAATCCCACTGGAGCTGTTGATGCCAAACTGTGATGTGCTGGTGAGTAGGGAATACTGGATCTCGCCATTGAGACCTTGATCTTTGTCAGTAGCTTCCACTTGGATGACTTCGGTACCAACAGGGGTGTTTTCGGGAATGCGGGCCTGGTAGCCGTCTTGAAGAAACTGAGGTGCATTGTCATTTGCATCTGCTATGTAAACTGTAAGAAGCCTCCAGGAGGATCTTTGCGGTTGGCCTAAATCATACAGTGTGATGTTTAGAAGATAGCGATCTGTCCTCTCACGGTCTAGAGGAAGGAAGATGCTTATCACGCCATTCAGAATTCCAATACTGAAACAACTGTCTGTGTTGCCATCAGCAATGACGTATAAGAGTTGTCCATTGAACCCAGTGTCTCCATCAAAGGCTTTTACCTGAAACACACTCGTGCCAACTTGTACATCCTCACGCACAGTGATGTCAGTTGGGAAGGATTTGTCAAATTGAGGCGTTTGTCGGTTCACAGAGAACAGGTCAATAAAGCCCTCCTCCATTTTGGGTTTACTGCTAGCTTTGGCTTTCTTCAGAAGTTTCTCAGCTAGTCGTTGGGCTACTCTGGTTTCGGTACAACTAAAGCTCTTGGGCGGTGACTTCCCTTGCACTACAGATATGTTCACAAACATGGGATCGGAAAAGTGTTCCCCATCTGTAGCAGTAATTTTTAGACTGAATGAGTTTTTGGGTGCTGCAGTGTTTAGGGAGTGATGTAAGGTCATGACACCAGAATCGGGATTTAAGTCAAAGTACCCTCGCTCATTCCCTGAGAGGATCTTGTATTTGACTAGCTCTAGCTCATCAATGTCTATGGCTGACATTGTGGTGATAACCTCACCTACCGGAAGGTCTCGAGAGATTACACCAACACAGGCCACTTTCTCAAATAGGGGTTTGTTATCGTTAACATTCTCTAGGTGCACAGTGACATTGACTTCACTCTCACGCCTATAAGGGGAACCCCAGTCAGAAGCACGAACCACAAAACTAAAACTCTCTACAGATGATTCAAAGTCTAGCTCCTGTGTTGTCGTGACTGCTCCGGTGAACTGTTGCACGCTAAAATGTAATGGTGTCAAGCTAGCCATGCTATATGTGATGTACCCGTTTTCCCCATGGTCACCATCAGAAGCAGTCACCACAACAACAGTGGTGCCTACCGCAACACTTTCATTGACAAATACCTCATAAGACTGCTGAGCAAATGACGGTGCATTATCATTGGCATCCTCAAGAATGACTCTAACCTTGACCCTAAGGTCACTGTCTACTTCTAAGACCTCTAGCTCAAATACTTCCTGTGTGAGTTGGGTGAGCCAACGTGCCGTGCTGATGACGCCAGTCATGGTGTTGATACTGAAGAACCCCGAATCAGTAGATGGGGTCAGGATGTACTCAGCATCATCTGGCTCTGGCTGGAGTTTCACAGCCTCCACAACAGTTCCAGGAGGGGCAACTTCACTCAACAGGACCTCGTATTCGTCCTTCTGAAATATGACTTCCGCCGGGGCTGGTCGTGACAGTCGTAAGTGCACCGTGTGCACAGCAGAAAACTTCTGAGGTGTTCCACGATCCCGAGCCTGCAAGCTGAGGTTTAATCCAAACGGATAACTGTCCCAGTCGAACTGCTCTGTTGCACGCAGGACAAACTCTCTAGATCCTTTCTGAGTGACTTCCTCATCCACCAATTCTTCACTTGGCATCTCTGTCCTTTCGATGCTGAAGAGCTCAAGAAGGTCCCCAGTCACAATGCTCACTGCTTCAATTTCTCCATTCGCCCCTTCATCAAGATCCTCTACGGTGACCACAGCTATGACTGGGGACTTCTCAGTCCATACAGGTGCTAATGTAACAATACTCAGAATGGGCACATGCTCGTTAATCCGTTCTACATGAACAAAAAGTTTAGCTGTACTGCTTACTCCATTATTCCCATAGAGCTTCATTCCCCGGTCCACAGCCTGGATCTCAAGATCATAGCGGCTTTGAGTGTCAACATCCAGCTTCCCACTGAGAGAAACAACTCCACTAGTCGGGTGCACAGCGAACAGCTCCATTCGCTCCTTGAAAAAGTAATAGAACTCTCCATTTGATCCTATGTCGGCATCCGTGGCAGTGACCTGAGCTATGCTGGTGCGTAGGGGTGTGCTTTCCGCAATGGTAACTGAATATGTGGTAGGGGAGAAAAGGGGTCGAAGGTCATTCATATCCAACACCTGCACACTAACTTTAGTCCAGGCCTCTAATGTATCCCCCTTAATGGAAGCTTTCACTGTCAACAAGTAGTTGTCCTGAACTTCACGGTTCAAGATGGCAGCATTACCCCCTTTGGTTCTTATCCGCAGGAAGCAGAAATCACCCAGAGTGTACTCCTCGGCCTTGAAGAATCCTTCCTCGTCCCCGGAGGTGATGCGGTACCTCACCTCCCATGAGTGATGTTGGAGAGGGATGCCCATGCGCACCTGGCTGGCAGCGTAGGTGCGGGCGGCCGAGTTCTCGTAGACCGACGCATGGTACAGTGGTTGAGTAAACTGTAGGCGGGACCTTTCACCTTGGCAGTGGCCTGGAGGTGGAGAGAAGAACAGCAAGAGGGCCAATTGTAGGAGAATGGCCCATATGCCTGCACAAAGGGCCATGCTCACTGCCATCCCATCACCAAACCCATCCTGGAGACAGAGAGAGAGAAAAAAAAAACAGAGAAAGATGTTAGGAAGAGCAGATGACATGACAGTACACAACCTGACCTTTCACATCTAAAGCTCATAGGTCACTAGGGATCAGTCAAAAAGATCAAGCACAAGCAGAGGAAGTCGTGTTCTGAAGAAGGGCTGGTAGCCAGGCAACCGCAAGCCAAATGACATCACTACCCAGGTCTCAAAATGGACATTGACACAATTATATACTAGGGAAAAACCAGGAGGATGCAATTCAGGAAAATTCACTTACACACACACTCTACATACAAGAAAAAACAGCAGGAGAATGCAAGTCAGGAACAAAATAATTATAGAGAACGAAAGATCAAAAATACAACCCGTGAAAATGAAGACACACACACACACTCATTATATGACATGGTTTTAAAAATGCTCTTGAGAAAGGACAAAATGCTGTGGATTCAGCAATATACTGGTTATGATTAAAGTGCTGCTGGAGAGGAAGTCTGTGAGTGTGGGTTTACTTAGCTATACTTGGGGAACAAAATTGTCCCTAGAAGTTAGCTGAATCCGACAAAGCCTTTGGGGACCTAAATTGGAAAAATGATTAATAAATCCAATAAATATATATATATTTTTTTAATTCTAAAAATGCTAACGTTTTCATTTAGGTTATGTTAGTTATAATTAGCTTTATACAAAACAACAGCAGTCTAAGGTATGTCCTCAATTTGTTGTGTTTGTGAGTTCATGCTTGCAAGTAAGGCATTTTGCATGTGTGTGTGTGTGTGTGTTGGTATGGTACATCAACTCTAGTTTTAGACACTGATTGTTTTGTGTGTGCCCTGCGGGACGGTTAGGATGTGTCCCAGTCCACAAAAATGCAATGCTGACCTTACCATGCACACACACACACTGTCCAACATTTGCCCACACAAAAATACACATGCATACACAAAATACACACACACACACACACAGAATGAAGTTGCTGTGGTCAGCCCACACATGACTCAGCACACATATATACACACATCCCCTTCCACCTCTAATGATATCCTACAGCATACTCACCAACTCAAGTCTCACAAATTGGAATAGGCACACACACACACACACACACACACACACGAACTCAAAATGCAAGAGATCAGCTTATTTTATTTCTCGGGGTCTATTTCTCTCGGTTTCTCTCTCTGTCACACTCTTGTTCTCTCTCTTTGTGACCACATACACTGGCAGACAGTCTGTCAGATTAAAACCAACAGGCATTTTGGAGCAGTCAAGGTTCAGTACGCAAACAGCGTCTTGTCTCCCCAAAAGCCTTGTTTAGACTGACCAAATCTCCGGCTCATCTGGCCATAGACTTTACACAACACAATAAAAATGCATATCATGAGGCCAACACAAACACCGCAGTGCATAAACACATAGACACTATCAAAACTACCTAGCTAAAAAAAATTCTATTCAAACATTTTTTTAATTTTCCATCTTGGTTATTGGTATATTAAAATGTCCAGTTGGACTACTATACAGCAACTTCAAATGAGGCTATTGCAATTTTAACTATGCATTTATATAAGTGTTAGCATAACTTATCTGGAAAAGTTCACTCGATATTTGTATTAGCAACCTAGCAAGTCATGCTGTTGAAGATCTAGTCACTGTAACACTGTATGTAACATGTAAACACTGCTTAACCTAAGGTAAGGCATCAATATGACTTTAAACATTATTAATTACAATGACTTTTAGGAGTAATACAACTTCGATCACTCTCAAATAATGTTTTATTAAAAACTTTCAAATAATTAAAATAACTTTTTTTAAATCAAATATTAATAACATTATTAGAACCCCTATTACCAATATTTGAAAAATTACACAACCTTTTTGTAACATTGGCCAATTTGTTTGCATTTTTTTAATGTTAGTATAACATATCTGAAAACATGCACTTAGCAAGTTGTTGAATATGTAGTCCAATAAAGTACAGCTTAATATAAGGTAACACATCAATGTTACGTTGATCATTTGGGGAACAATTATTATTATAATTATAAAAAACTTTTTTAGTTGTAGTACTCATCCTTCAATGACTTTCAAACAATGTTGCACTAAAACTAGGGCTGCACGATTATGACAAAACTCATAATTGTTGATTATTCCCTTGAAATTTATCACAATTTACATTGAATGATGTGTATACCATTGTTTGATGCAACTGCATGCCGTATTTTTATATGAAAATAAACAAGCTGAAAACACTCTAACTGAAAAACTTTTAGTGCTTTTCTATAGTATTAAGCATCAAATGTCAACTATACATCGGATTGGTTTCTTCTTTAAATTATAAAAAAGTAAAAATATGAATGGTATTATAATGTTAAAACTAAAACTACTATAGTAGTACTATAACTAAAACTAAAATTAAAATAATGGGAAAAACCCCTAAGATAACATGCAGAAAGAAAAAAAAAACACATCTTAAGCACGCAGATTAAGATAAGTGGACTTTGAACGATTAATTGCCGCTTTGAACGATTACGTAATTGTGGCATCCATAATTGTAATCACGATTAGAAATTCGATTAATTGTGCAGCCCTAACTAAAACGCTTTCACATAACTTTGTGGGAACTTGAATCAAAACACAAATAACATCATTATGCCTTCCATTAACAATATTTAAAAATAACACAACCTTTATGTAAGGTTAGCCAACATTTTTAGAATGTCCTAGATGGGACATAAACACAAAACATTGCCAACTATTCTATTAGTACACACTATCGATCATACTAACTCCCACAGTGGTACACACACACACACACACACACACACACACAGATACTCACTAATTAACTACAAAAACAGTTTGGAAACATTAATGAACTTGGGATCCTGTGTTCTGCTCATTCACATACAACAAATACTCTAAAGAAAAACTGCACTGAACAATCATGCTTTGTGTTTTCTTTTCTAATGGAAAGTGTTTATGTGCCTGTTTATCTGCTGATATTTTGTTATCTGAAAACTGCATTATAATCTATTCTCTGACAGCTCCGTGTTTAAGAAAAGCCGCAGCGCTCCACTGCATCTGAATGCGTGTGCGTAACGTGACGACCAATCCAATATCCCAAGAAACAGAGAGGAAGTGATGTAGAACAAAGCGCATTTCCATAACAGAGAGAATTCTAAATGACGAGTGTGTGTGAGATGTTCTGATATCCATAGACCACGGCATGATCCTTTCACTTCAGTTTCACGTTTAAGAAAAGCCGGACTGACGTTCTTCTTCTAAATGCCTGTGTGTATTAGTGCTGTCACAACACCAACATTTCAGTAGTTGATACCTAATGCAAGTGAACTTTTATGACAGAGGGGAAAGCTTTTATCCAATTAGAAATTACCTTCAGTCAATCCATACAAAAATGTGTAATTTTATTACAGTAAAAGTGTAGTAACCATGGTCTTTTGACCCATTTGGTTAACATTTGTATAACTACTACAAATACCATGGTTAAACTATGGTTAGTGTAGCAAGACCATGGTTAATTTGTGGTTACCATGGTTTAACCACAATAACCATGTTTTTTGGTTTTATTGTTTGCAAAACCATGGTTAATTTTTTAAGGGAATTACCATCATACATAGCTAACCATCACCCAATAGGATATATACTGTATAAAAACACTTTGCATTATTATGATGTTTAGTTGTTCTTTTATATTATATGTAACATATATGGTAGAAATAAATTGGCCTATAAGGTAGAATAAACTAATGTTTTAAAAGATATGCTACATTTTATAAGCTCAGAAGCTAACCATACTAGCTTAGCATACTGTTAGCCATTTAGCCTGCTATCCTTGTATATACCCTAAGCAAGTTACAACACATAATCATAGCAGTACTGTCAAGTATTACATATATACACAATTTCTCAGTTTGTTTACAAGTATTAGTTTAGTTTAACATTAGTTTAATAAGTATAGGATCAATAACAAATGTATATAAAGGCTCATTTGCCTAGCTTGAACAAACCTTATGAAAATTATCCATGGTTTTACTATAGTAATTTTGTAGTAACCATGTTTTTTTTTTTGGCAGATGCATTTGTATAACCACAGTTTTATTACAAATACCATGGTTAAACTATGGTTAGCATACCAAAACTATAGTTAATTTTTGTAAGGGAAACACAATCACAATTAAGCAATATTGCAATATGTTTTTGAACAGGCAACAAAATAGCCACCTATTGGGGTCTAAGAAGACACGACTGGAATGGAATACTTATTACTTACTAAAACTTTGTCTGTTATTTAATGGCCCAGTCAGTCAATGACTTCACAGACAGTGTTTCTGCATGAAGGTACAGAAACTGGTTTCACACAGGCCTCAAAGGCACCATAACGTCACGTCTAATGATCTAGAACAAATTTGAGTGAGCTTTAGACATAACCAAGTGAATATTTTATGACTACAATGCTTGTATCTCAGTAAAAACGGAATCACAAGTTGGACATTTATTTGGACAGATTTACTTACTCCCAACCACTTCATTAGACAGCAGTTTTATTCTTCACATAAGGATACGCCAACAAAAACAGACCAGATGAAGGCATTTCTATAGCTTTTACTGTCAGACAGCACTGCAGAAAGACTGTTAAAATTAAATGTATTTTAAATTTAGCATTAACTTTGTTTCTAAGTACTGGTAGTTTTTTTTTTCTGCTACTGCTTGTGTGTTTTTTCATCTGTGTGTGACAACAAATCCAATATTCTGAGTGTCGCATATAGGAAGTGAGGGAGAACGAATGGCCATTTCCATAACAGAGAGTTCTGATGGACTACGTGTGTGTGTGTGTGTGCTTGTTTTGGTGTCATTAATTGGAGCGGGATCTTTATTGCTGCTGGCACTGGTTTCTGTAAGCGTCCTGTCAGTCTGAGCCAACGACCTCTGAACACACACACACACACACACACACACACACACTCGTT